AAGTGTGGGGTGGGAAAAAAAGAGAAAAGGGGAATCAAGAATAAAGGTTCTGGTTGGTGAACTGGCAGTGTACAATAAATCAGAAAAAAAAAAAGAAGCAGCCAGTTGTACCTAACGAAAAGTGGGGGTCACAAGTGAAACAAAATGTGAAGTAATGATTGGGTTGAGCATAAAGGTAAAATAAAAGAAGTGTGTATTAAAAGTTCTTAGGGAGGTTAGTCACTATATCTAAATATATCCTACCCGTCCCTTAGCCTACATTACAACCTATAAAGACCTCTTGATCTTTGACTGAATGGCTCGATTAGTAGAGTATTACACTAGGGGCAAGCTTATGGTGTGTCTGTGTGGCATGTGAATGCTCTTTGATGAGAGTGAGTGAATTCTTTTTATATATGGTTCCTTATTGTTGAATTTTATGTGTGTGGAACTTCTCTCAGATTTTGTTTATGTGAGGGCATGTGACTCAGGAAGAAAAAGTGAGTCTTCACTTCTGTTAGAGTAATTAGAGTGAGCACAAGTGTGTCTTGGCATGAGAGTCTGCATTTGAGATATGATTGTGCACTGCTTGGGTCGATCATTGATAATAGCAGGTGTGACATAAATTGGGGCAATGCATTGAGCAGTTAGGCCTAGAAGTGTGATTCAGTTTGCTCGAGGACGAGCAAAGGTTTAAGTGTGGGGTGTTGATAATAGGTGAATTTGACTATAATCACACCTTAAATAATCACCTTCTTGTGTAGTTTTAATGCTAAAAGTGATAACAAAATGCTCTTATTAGTGCTTTTCATGATTTGCAGGTGATATATGTATAAGGAAGGCTAAGGAGCAGTTTTGGAGTCAAAATTGGAGAAAAGAGGCCAAATGTGTAAATTCCCAATGAAGCTACGCCCTGCCAGCCCTTAGGATTCAGAAAAATGGTTTGGCCGCAGTTCTACCGCGACCGCGGCAGAACCGCGGTGGAAGGCAGCTTCAGAACTTTAGAGATTCAGAGAGGGTGATTGGCCGCGGTTCTACCGCGACCGCGGCAGGCGCAGAAAAGTTCAGGGGTCAAAGTGTCAAATACGGGATTTTTAGACCTAAACCCTATTTAAAACATTAGACTTCGCCCAAGGGAGCAGGTATTGATTTTTAGGGTTTCTTAGCAAGGAAAACCATTGTGAGAGAATACTCCAAACATCTTTCTTCTTTACTTTTGATTTTTATGATGAATTCTATCTTAGTTTATTTTTCCATAGCCATGAGTAGCTAAATTCCTTGTCTAAGGTTTTGATGGAACCTATTTGGTGATGAACTTCTTGCTTATGTGAATACAAATTGCTAGTTTAATCTCTATTTGTTCAACTTCGTGTTTGTTGTAGTTAATTGACAGGATCCTCAATTAGCTGTGCCTATTTAGTGTGCATAACTTGGAAAAGAGTGCATATTTAGGGTATTGTTGAACAACACCACTCCTAGATTATTAGAGGAATCTATAATTGTGGGTTTAAAGGCGGAATTAGGGATAACGAAGCCTTGGGTGTAATCTAAAGTGAATCGTGCTAAATAAAGTAAGCTAGTGTATCTCGGGAGAGTGCAATAGTAGATTACTGTAATTACTCGGGAGAGAGTTGCGGTAAGATTAGCGTTCATGATTGATAGAGATGTGTGGGTAAATTTGTATGAGCATAAACAGAAGGGAGTCCATCAATAGGGGAAATCATTGCCTTAGCTTTTTCTCATAATTGTTTACAACCTTATTAATTTAGTTACAGCCATTAGTTACTTGCAAGCTAGTTGTTAAAGAACACTCAACTGAGAATTTGAATATTTGAGAAGCTGGTTCTGAAGACTTGGTGGGTCTGAAGATAGCGGTTGATAGGTTAACTCTCTGTGGATTCGACCCTGGGCGTAATACTCGGGTTATATTTGCAACGTCCGCAGAGTCCTTTTTATAAGGCATAGTTGGGCGTGATCATCTATAAAAAAAAATTAAAATTAAAAAAAAGCGACCAAAGTTGGTTGCTTATGAACCCAGATCGTTAAATATATATTTTTTTAAAATAATATATATTTTAGTTTACAGACCAACGTTGGTCGCTAATTGGTGAATTATAATAATTAAAAAAATATCGTAATTTAAATATACAGACCAACGTTGGTCGCTAAATTTGTATTACTAAAATATTGTACCGACCAAAGTTGGTCGGTATTTTGTTTACACTGAACATTTGGTCATTTTATCTTAGCGACCAAAGTTGGTCGGTAATTAGCGACCAACGTTGGTCGCTAAGCAAAAAGGACCACCAATATAGCGGCCAAGCCTGTTTGGACGCATTTTGGTCACTATATTGAGATAAACGACCAACGTTGGTCGCTATATGTGGTTGCTTTTTGCCGAATTTCTAGTAGTGAAGTGCAAGTTTATAAATAAATAAATAAATAAATATGAGATTGCTTGAAATTCTCTTGGTTTGCTATTATTTGGAGGCAATTTGTGAATACTCATTGTCTTGTTGAGTGAAAACTTGGAGAGAAACAGGCCACTATTGAAGAACCCCTTAGAGCTTCGCTTGAAAAAACTTCCAAATATTCATTTCTAAAAATTGATTGGGTGTTGCTGGAAATTAATTGTTGAATCTTGATATGGAGTTTGGTTGGAACAAGAATTTAGAGCTCCACTTGAAAAACTTCAGTCATTGATTTTTTAAAATTTTTCTTTTTTAGAAAAAGAGATGGAAATAAAGGATAAAAGGATAGGATCTGGGGTTAAGGTTGAAAAACTTTAGTGGGTTGATCCAATAAATTGGGGCGGATTTAAATTTGGTGGGGGTTAAATTTGATCTGGACAAGGGAGCCACTTAGCCCAACTAGGTGCTGCCAACACATTAAAAAGGGGACTATAGAAATTTTCATAAGTCGCAAGGATAAGTTCAGACCAGAAGATAATGTTGTATGCATTTTTGGATCAATAAGTGAATGGAGAACAAAATAAATCATTTACCAAACAATTGGGATATTTTTGACATTTTTCCGAAGAGTAACTAAAAGATGAAGGCAACGAAGAGCTTCCAGTTTAATTTCTTTTGCCCCATACTTACTCAATCATTCTTGAGGAAAAGAAACGAGGCAAAGAAACTCTCTTTTAATAAATTATATCTTCTCATGTCCAATACAGGTATACATCTCTATAATAGTCGCGTTTGTGCTGATATTTTTAAATACTATAATGAAATATTGTTATAGAAAACATATAATATAACATAACATAAAATATCGGTTCCGAAAAAATTTAACTTTTATATTGAATAGCTATTATATAAGGATAAGAGGTCTGACTATACATGATTGGCTTTCCCAAAGTGGTAGACAACAGCTAGCTAATGCTTTGTTTTGTTCGCAGTAATTAAGAGCTATAGGATGAGAAGGTATATATTAGGACGACTTACTTTTAGAGGCGAAACTAAGATACTCTATATATAAATCGATTAACGACTTTAAATTTATGATTTTATTGATGGATCTGTTATCCTTTTAAATAATAAATTTATAAATTGAGATGTATTGAAATTTTAATACCACATATAATATTTATGCTTCGTGTCAAAAAAATATGGTTCAGGTGAATGCATTAACCATTTGGTCTATATATCGGCCTCCGTCTAATATGCTCATCTTGCATTTGGAAACAAAAATGAATAGAAAGATGTGTTTAATGTATAGCTACATATGACCTGGCCTGAAAAAGTGAAGCCAGGCTTGTGCAAATATATAAATATTGTTTGATTAATTGAACAAGTCTTAAAAATAAAATGTATGGATAGGGAAATTTGCATGTAATATGATATATATGGTCAAATATCTGTGGGTGCAAATAGCGTTGCCATAATGGGCCAGTCAATCCCTGTGAGTTAGGCTGGTGAACCCGTGATTAGTATAGCATTTAAAGCCTAAGAAAAAGTGATTAGTACAAATTTATAGGGAGAAATTCAAAAATAGCCAGATTTACAAGTGGTCGTTCAAAAATAGCCCGGTTTCAAAAGTAATCGAAATTTAGCCACTTTTCATGTAAAAATAAATCTGAGCGAAAACACTGTTCAAAACCCGGAAAATACGCCAGTATATTATGCTGGAGATCCAGCATAAGTATACTTGAACTCCATCATATTATACTGGAGTTCCAGGATAAGTATGCTGGAACTCCAGCATAATATGATGGAGTTCCAGCATAAGTACACTAGAACTCTAGCATAATATACTGGAGTTCCAGCAAAGTATACCGGGGGGTATAGTATGCTGGAAGTTCATACACAAGTGCTCGAATCTCCAGTATATTATGCTGGAACTTTCTGTGTGTTGGAGTTCCAGCATAATATGCTGGAAGTTCATACACAGGTGCACCGAACTCCAGTATATTATGCTGGACCGGTCTCTGTTGCAGCAAAATAGTGGCTATTTTTCATTGACTTGGTAAACGCTGGCTATTTTTGAATGACCAGTCCGAAAACTGGCTAGACCGTGCTATTTTTACAAATTTATATGTATGTATTTAGAGATTCATAGCCCATTATTTTATCAAGAGCAGATCACGCATGTCTGAAAAAGAAATATAATTAGCCTAAGAAACATTGATTAGTATAAATTTATATGTATGTATTTAGAGATTCATAGCACATTTTTTATCAAGAGCAGATCACACATGTTTGAAAAAGAAATATAATTGTAATTATTTATTTTTCTCTATTTTTTCTTTTAACTCCTTTAATTGATGATCGACCTTGAATATACAAGAGGAGAAAGATTTTAGTAAGATTTGAGCCCCGTAAACTTTAATTTCTCATGTAAATATTTCATAAGATAGACATTCTTTTCAATTCGACATACTAATTTGGCATTTATTTAAGATGAGATATACTAGTATTATTTTCAATAAGATTAGGACCAATTCATAAATCAAAATAAACTCAAGGGACTAAACAGTAACTTGCTCCAACTAACGGGTCAACTGTGATATACGGCCCCGGTTCGGAGAGCTCGAGAGAGAGAGAGAGAGAGAGAGAGGAAATGGAGGAGAAGGCGAAAGTGGGGAGTGAGAGATGGAGCGCTGCGATCGAAAATCTATCGGAGATGGCGTCGAATCTGGATTCTCTCCAAAAGCTACTCGTGAAGAAAGCAGTGTACGTCGACGAAGACACCTTTGCCAAAGCCTCTCTCACTTCCGAACAAGCCCGTACTATTAAGGTTCGATCCCTACTCTTTATCACTCGTTCATCAGTAGAGGTGTCTTAGTTATGGCGAGTTTTTTACTATATTTGAATAGCTGAGATAAGGAATTATTGAGTTAGTTTTATTGTAATTTGTTTATTTTGTTTTCTGGATGCATTACTCTTAATTATTGTGTGTATAATTGGACTCTACTTTGATTAGTTGAAAAACTCAATCTGTTATTGGTGAATGAATCTCAAAATCAATGCGCGGAATAACACAGAATTCTTATAATGAGCTAAACTGAAAACAGAGAACATAGAGCAGCTTGAGCACAAAATCATATCACTAACTAAAAGGTTTGAGAAAGCTCAAGCACAAGATACTCTTGAGAAAAATTTAGGTCTTGATTTTAAACTCCCTTCACAAGTCCAATCTTGTAATGATGCAAGTTGCGTTGCCTTTAGATGTGCTTTAGCTTCCATATCAGAGAAGTCCCACTGAGTAGTGCGTTAATTTCAAGTTCGGACATCTCTCAAACTGTGAGCAAAGATGTTATAAAGATTCTGATGCTAAAAGGAAATCGAGCCATCTACATTTCAAGTTCAGACATCTCTCAAACTGTGAGCAAAGTTGTTATAAAGATTCTGAGGCTAAAAGGAAAATGAGCCATCTATGGCAATCTTTGGTTTAAGGTGTAAGAGGACTTCAAAAATCCTTATATCTCCACTAGTTCCAGATGAGGTCAGCAACTATCCAAGGCATCCTAGTGTCCTAAAGCAAAAACTGCAACGATGATTAATACAAGCGTAGATGTGAACACAAGAGGAAGCAGAAAATTTTGAATAACTTGGACCCCCAAGTTGGATTTGACTGGATAGCTGGATACCATCAGTAACTGTAGCTTTAATTTCAGCGTAAATGGACAAACTAAGAGGAAGCAACAATTTCATGCAAGAAGAAAGATAAGTGAGACGAACTGTAACCTGGTTGAATAGAAAAACGCTTATTGAGTTAAATTACCTTTCTGATTCATTAGCCCTACAAGTTTTGTTTTTTTCCAGTTATCTCCAGAAACAAAAAGAGAGATGCAATGAAGTTGAATAGGAAAACCCAGAAAAGGTTATAGGGGGTGAAGAAAAGAAGGAGAGGTCGATAGGCTTCATCTAATTATATATAAAAGCCAGCACGTAAAAGAAAGCACCACTAGCATATATTGAGGAGAGGTAATCAGTGAGGATTGAGGCCATCCAGCTTTATTTGACCTTGTAGAAGCTCAGCAATGGTTGATAATTGCATGAGGTTTGAAGAATCTTTTGGCTTGTCCTTGGTGTAAGGGGGGTGTAATTGTTTTTGGGATGAGGCATAATTATTGTTGTTGTCGTATGCTCACTCCCGTTATTAATGAAAGTTTTGACTATTCTATGGCTGCAGGTTCTTGAACAAAGAGTTCAGACTTTAGAGCGAGAATTAGATAATGCTATTTCTGCTGCTGCTCATGCACGGACTGAGAAAAGACAGGCTGAGGCAGCTCAGAAGGCTGCTGAACTACGTGCACAAGAGGTTACAAGAGAGCTTGAAAATACCACAAGTATGTGGCTATGTGCTTCTGACTCTTTTAGAAATTCAGCCATTAATTCAGAGCTCTATGATATATGTTGTTCAAATCAATTTGCTTTATGAACTTCTGCTACAGTAAATATGTGCTTGTATAAGTAGTTATGGTAAGTTTGTAACCTCACCTACCTCAATGAAAGAAACTCAAGTACCAATTGTATTGCCTAATCATCGACCTCTTAGTCTCTGATACTCTTTTGTTCTCTTTTTCCTTTTATTCTTTCTTCAAAGTTAGAAGTTTCATTCTTTAGGACAGGTAAGAAGAATTTTGCTCTATAATTTTGTTCTATTTAGGCTGCTGTCAACATCCCCATTTTGTTTCGAACTCATTATAGGTGACTTGCCCTCTTCTTCTTTTATCTTTTTTTCCTTTTTTGGATGCAGATAGCTAGGGCTTAGAGGGTGGGCTTAGGATAAAAATAATGTAGAGTCTTTTGGCGAGCCGCAGTGGAATTTTTAGCTGTCTAGATTAGCTAAGAGAGTTTTATACGTCATTTTGCCATCTTAACTGTCATTTTGCTCAGTTATCTTTACCTGTTTTCATGCTAGAGATTAACCAAATTGGTTTGCTTCGGTTCTAAAACAAGAGTGACCATGATATTACACAATCAGTCATATGGAGTGTTTTTATAATCTTGTCATTTCCAGTCATGTCCTCACAAAATGGATTTGCTCTTACATGCTCCTCTGTGGTTGTAGGGGTATTTGAGCTGCACATGGAAGAGCTGCGTGCAAAGCAAGAAGAGATATCTAAGCGAGATAAGGAAATCAAACTTCTAGAGGCCATAATTCAGACACTTGGAGGCAAAGGCTCTCATTCTACCCTTGAATGAGTAAGAAAATCTACAGTGACTGTAATTACTGTGTCATCTTGTATCATTTCTTTGTATATTAAACAAGATTTTGGTTTGTAATAGATGTACCAGGAAGTAGATGAATATTTCAGTAAGTTACTACATCCAAGTGTTGTGTTTTGCTGCTTCTTTTTTTTCCTCTTCCTTCGATGGTATAATAGCAGTACCACTATTGACAATGTTAGGATATCTAGTACGAACCATTAACCTGAATCTCTACGACTCTACCTTGTAGAAAATTGAAATGAACGTGGCTTGAAGATTGTCATTAGGGCTGTCCTAGGACACTAGTTACAAAGGTCGAAAATATATGATCCAACAAGTATTTATTTCTTCAATAATCTTAGATATAAACGGCGTGTTACGAAGCTAACTCTAATAGCATGTAGGAAAATTCAATCTTATTCAAGTCGTAGCTTCAGAGCTTTTTCTTTTTTCTCTGCCAAACCCTATAGCTGAGTTATTGTGTCAAATAGTTAGACGAGTCATCCGTCTCCTTTAATCGAGATTTTCAGTTGCATATAAATTAGATAAACTTACACAAATATACATACTCGCCTTTGAAATTTTCTGCACTTTAAAATGTGTGTGTCTCTTAAATAGTTTTTAGTTGTCGGGTACTAGAAGATTAAATTTTGCACTTGGAGCAAACTTAGTTCTTCAATAGAAGTCCAAACTTTCCCTAAGCTCTTCAATTTCGCATAAACACATCCTTCGATAGACTTTGGCCGCAAAAAGAGACTCGCCATTATTAATTCGTATAATAATTACCATTCCTTGCCAATGAAGCTTCGTCTAACGATTTTTATTCATGCTGGTCGTTTATAATTACCATACATTAACTTAACGAGCCCCACAGTTATGCACAAGGGTGCCTAATTGATAGGACTGATGGATGAGGAATTCTTCCATGCTAACTAATCCTCATTGATAATTGTTAAAGCAAACTACCCTGATAGATTTTCAAATGTTCAAACACTGTCAGATTTTCACCTCATTTGGTACCAACCCTTCCCCCTCCCTGTTACGCCTCATGTTTTCGTACGTAAGAGTACGTCGTAAGTCAATTGATGTAAGCTTAGAAATGAAATCATCTTTGTAAAGTTTACAAAGTTATTTAATCATGCTAACGTGAAGGTTACAAATATTTAAGATCATGAATACCAAGTACCAAGAGGGTTTGAAGGCTTAGAAGCTAAACGAAATAAAGGAAATAAGTTTGTCGAAAGTCGACAAGTTGGAATGTTACAACATGTACTTTTGGGGTGAGACTAGGGTGCTTAACATTATAAGAAGATTATATTATGAGTTAGTCGTATGATAGTCGTGTGTTATGTTTTGAAGTCAAGCGAGTTGTGGAACAAAAGTTGGCAAAGATCATCACAAGTTACATTCATAAATATGCTGAAAATTAGGTCAAATGTAGCTGAGCATTTCTCCCTATATACTTTGATTTACGCGATGATCCACATATCAAATGGACGATCTATGAGTCTAGTTTTTAACGCATCAAACCGTTCGTCAATACCACATCGGAGTAGAGAGATATGTGCAGTTTCGCGAGACTGCGCAGACTGCATAGGTGACAAGTAAGTGTGTCACTGAAGCTTTTTGAGGAATACATTTTGTGTGTTATATGAGATCTTTTTGGGATATATTATATACCAAATTGAAGGTCTTGGAATTTAGTTTCTAAAGCTCTTAACCGTTCGTTCGTACGACATCCGGATAAAAAGATATAAGCGTCGGAAGAAGGGCTAGGGTGCCAAGCTAGCACCTCTTTGACTTTTCAAAAGTTGATATATATATATATATATATATATATATANTATATTAATGGGTTATTCTAGCTACGGGAAAAGAACATAAGAGGTGAATTGAGCAAAGGGATTGTTGAAGGTGTGCCATGGTCGGCCTTGTTGGCTCATGTTCGGATCTGAGAAAGGATTCAGGGTTTATGCCTCGTATAAGTGTGGGTTTCAGGGAAGTGATCCGCCACGGTGCATCACCAATGGGGCACTCATGTGCTAGAAAATTTAGGGAATTGGTTATATTCGAGGCCGAGTCAGAGCGGGTGGCTCTCAGCAGCGGTCCTAGTGAAATTCAGAAGATGAAGTATGATACTTAATGATTTCGAGCCTATAGGTGCAGTTGAGAATCAAGCTTTTGCAGCAGCTTACGAATGGAGATTCTGAACGGTCTGTGATGTTTGGGCTTGCGGTGTAGCAGTTGAGAGTTATGGGTCAGTTCATGGGATTTGAGACAGCAGGGTCTCGTGATTCCAGGTCACTCGAGATAAGTGCAGATGGGAAATGTTATGTGTTGGATGGAATTAGTATTATTTCTAAGGCAATCAAGGATAAATTAGGAGAAGATAGATTGGTTAGCCATAATTTAGTTGGCATATTGGCGGTAGAGGTCAGCTCTTTCAGCATGATTAAGTTATGCAAGTGATCTGTGGCGGTGCGTATGAGGCTTGTCAGCCGCCGTAAATGATATTATTTTGAAGCATTCTACCGTTATGGCTTGTTATGTGGAGGCAGATTCCGGAAGGGCTGTGGTGGCTTAGACCACTACTTAGATGTTTGCATACTCTACGGTTTATGGGAACTTACCTGTGTGTTTGTCACACCTCCTTTTTCGCTACTACACCCCGTAAAGGGTATAATAAAGGGAGTTTTTCCAATTAAAGGACAATCGAAACGGGATTCATTTTATTAAGAGATTCAGAGTCGCCACTTGGGAGATTTATGGTGTCCCAAGTCACCGGTTTGAATCCCGAATCGAGGAAAAGGTTTGACTCTGTTTAACAGTCCCGAACCAGAAATCCGGGTAAGGAATTCTGTTAACCCGGGAGAAGGTGTTAGGCATTCCCGGGTTTCGTGGTTCTAGCACGGTCGCTCAACTGTTATATCTGGCTTAATTATCTGATTTTAATACAGTTTGAACCTATGTGCAATTTTAAATTGTTTACCGCTTTTAATTAATTTTAAGGAAATTGAACGTCGTTTAAAACATGTTTTCGGATCACGTCACATGAAATGCACCCGGATCCTCAACACATTTTATTCAACGTTTTGGGATTTGGATTTGGGTCACATGAAATGCACACCCGAGTTTAGGAAGGTAAAATTATTAAAGAACGCGCCTAAAGCGGCTAACGTGTCATTAACTTTGCGGGAGGCCACGAAAATTCGCTATATGGCACGTCCCGAATTCTAAGTATTTTAATAGGAGTATTTAAAGAGGGCCACGCAGTTTGTCAATTTTGTTTGGCGCGGTGCACCTCAATTTATTTTTAAAAGGACGTCCTAAAGACGAACTACTATTGACTATTAAGATTCGTCTTTAATCTAAAAACTTAACTTGTTAACATTGTGAATTAACCAACATCCGAGTATTCAAGGAAATTCGGGCCCCGAGCTCAAGTCTAAACTCGAACAAGGACGATCCCCATTATTGAAAAAATCCTTAGCTCGAGCCTGCTACTTAACTCGAAAAGCCCAAAACCTACTAATTAATTAATAACGGGCCAGTTACCATTACAGTTCACGAGCTCAAAGGAGCTCCGTCCACACGGGACCCATACATGACAGAGGCTGTCCAACAGGTATCGACGCTGGGCTTGAGACCGGCCCAAATCGAACAAAGAGCAACCCCAAGATCGAACATCCATTTTTCAATTCTTTCTATTAAACAAACAAGGATACAACTCCCTGTAACTTGCATTTTTGCAGAGAATTACGCCCACACAGAAACATGTAATATGAATTATACTAGATAAGTGAACAACATATGGACTATGACATTTAACTACTCTACACCGGAATCCCAAATTAACAAATCATATTAGGCATCACATTGTACTGGAAAAATTCAAAACAGACAACCTAGTCAACTTGAGTATGAAATGGAGCAGGATGTATTAATCCTAAATCAACACATACCTAATTAAACAAAGAAATTAAATCTGGGAAAAACTTCTCAACACATGCTTTTACTACAGTAGTGTTGTGATTAACACATATTCTAACAAACGTGACAATAGAACCTAAGAATTTAAACAAGCATGAATCAATATACACTTCATGATAGCCCTATCACAGTATCAATATAAACTCCGAACATGCTGAGAAGGAATAAAAAACATTAGAATCTTCATTTCCTTCAAAAAACAACACGAGCCATGGCTTACATGCTTAAGGTCACAGATGTGTACCTGAAAATGAAAATCAAAGGAGAAGATGAGGGTTCAGCAGTATCTAAAGCAGAAAACCAGCACCAGCAATACAGAATCAGCAAAGGAAAACCAATAGAACAGTAAATCCAGCTCAATCAACCCAGATTCAAACTTTAAATCAAATGCTAAAATTCAACTCAAAACCGAAAGAAAACCCACACTAAGCCATCTTAAAGCCACAAAATGGTTGAGATGTTCTTCAAAAATAACCAAATGGCAGAGAAATGATCAATGGAATAGTAGAAAATGCAGCTGTTTGTTTTCTGGAATTTTCAGCCTGTTTTTTTCTATTTTTTCAGAATTTTTTTTCTCTCTTAATCTCTCAGATTTTAGAATGTATACGCCTATGATTTTTTTAACTCTCCAATTCTTGCCTTGAAAGGCAAGCATGCTACCTTATATAGGCTCCACTCTAGGGCAGCCCTGCAGACCATTTATTTACCCTTTACTCCCCTCTTAAGTTTTCATTTTAGCTTAGGGGTCCCTAGATTCTTAACTTATTCTCCAAGTTACTACAGTTATTTGTTGAATCTCAGAATAAATCCCCATCTAGAAGGTCCTGGGGAGTTCCATTTTCAGTTACTAAAAGATTCCCTATGTTGAATTCCCTGAACTACCCTTTATTTGGATTCTAAATTACCAACCTAGTTAAACCAACCCCCCAACCCTGCTACCCTGGTCAAAAAATTAACCACAGTTAACTAATTGAAAGCTTGGAACATTCAGCTATACCCAAACAACTTTTAATTGTCAAAATCAATCAAGACAATCAGATCAGAACATTGATTAAACTAAAAATAAGAGTTAAAGCGGGATAGAATCAAAAGAAAAATGATAGAACCCTAAAATTCTAAATCAACAAGAATCAACAAATAATACTCAAGAAT